AGTTTTGCGCAGACAGCGAACAGGCGCGAGTACGTGATGTGAGAATTTTCGAGTTTCCAATTCCTTTTTCGTAAGATACTGGGCATGCCGAAATAGACAGCCAAGAAACGTCAGGAAAATTTGAGATCTTTTCTAACCTGAGACAATATCCGATCCACACATACATCCACCCCGCCCCCTCTCTATTAATTCGCCTATCATGCTTCCAACTTCCCTCCACTGCTTCTTGGCGCTCTCTACCTTCCTCCTCCTCATCACATGCACTTTACCGTCTCCCATCACTACCTACTATCACACACATGTCACAGCTTCCACACCTCGTCACCCACAACTGCACACACACTCGCTATGGAGCGCGGACCCACATTACCTCCATTCTTCAACCAAAAAATTAGAAGTCTATACTATTCACTTAAATGTTTATTAATATGGAACCAGGTTCAAAATGCCTGCTGAACAGCAGGGCCTGTACCGCGGGGCCAATAGTCAAGTGACAAGTGGGACAGGGGCCGTAGAGCTTAAGCCATTCTGCGCAAAGCAAAACCACCATCGAACGGGTTGCTGTCTCGGAAAGGTAACCGCCATTATCAATGGTAATGGTATCTACATTCTTTGTGGGAAGCACCTTCCGCCCCTTCTCTTGGCCGACCGCTTGCTCACGCGCCTCTGGGATCGTACATGATCAAGTGGCCACGCGGCAATCGGGCCAGCGAACAGTCGGACATCGACAAGTCAGTCAACACAGCAAACCGCAAGGCAGCACTAAGTCAGGAGCCGTGACGCATCTGACGGTGCATACAGAGAGGTCGGGTGCCTGAGGCGTGGCGATCATTGACAAGCGACGTGGGTGCCGTCGTTCGCCACGGAGTGCTCCACCAGGGCGCTCCCTAATTTATGAACGACATGTTACTGGTAAGAATTTCTTGCAGAAACTCTATGCTGAGATACCCCTGGACCAATATTAAATGATCTTTACAGCACAAAATAACTTAACTCCTACTGGTGAGATATTGCGCAGTGCGCTTAAAACAGTAACGTATCAGATTGTGTCTACTGGACTGGTTTATGCAGCGAAGACGCTTATATGCAATTAAGGTCTGCTTCATATTTCGACACTAAAGCGAGGTCTACTGACTGGAAATATTATCATAGAAATCTATGCTGGGATAACCTTTTCATTTATAAAATTTATAATTTATGGCAAAATATTTTCTCGTTCGCTCAAACGAGGTATTGCGCATTGCGCGAGCACCGTTTCACAGACGTGGCAGTACGCCTAAATAACAGTACTAAATATAAGCTTGCTGCGTGGTGGGAAACGTGAGGGAAGGTGGCAGGGAAGACAGCTCGAGGGGCGGCTGCAAGAAGAAGGAGACTGACGTGCGACCAGGGAGCAAAGGGAAGAGCGGGCGGTGGAATGAAGTAGTAGTTTGCACCCTACTGGCTAGGGCGCTCTTCCCTAATTATATAACACAGGTCCTACTGATAGGAATGCACAGTCAACTAGTCACACAAGAAAACCTATGGCTGAGATACCCCCTGACCAAATTGAAATTTGTATTCATTAGAAAATATAAGCTCCGCTGTGACGCATGTTGGCCCGTTGCGCTTCATACTAACGTAGCCAGATTGTATAACCTTAGTTACACACGACAACATTTTTAAAGTGAGGCTCTACTGATTAGAATATCTTATCATAGAACATCTATGGCTGGGATAGACCCCTCTTCATTTTTAAATTCATAATTTTTGCCACAAAAATATTGTTATTCTCGGAAGATATTATGGCCGCATGCGGAGCCACCGTATGTCAGACGTGGCAGTGGGCGGCCTATATAAAAGTACGTAAGTATGTGTTGGTAGTCGTGTGCGTGTGCGTGTGTGTGGTCTGTGTAAGAGAGGAGAGAGAGAGAAGAGAGAGAGAGAGAGCAGAGCGCGTGCCGTGCGTGCATCGCGTTGCGTAGTGTGCGCGTCGCGCGCGTGTGTGTGTTCGCGTGCGTGTGCGTGCGCGCGTGCGTGTGTGCGTGTCTATGCATGTATTATTATGTATTTATTTATATTATTTATTTATTTATTTTTCCTGAGCACAGACTGTACGCTGCAGGCATACTAGACGGGTCAACCTCAGGGTATGTACGTTACGGTCTATTGACCAAGTTTGAACATTGATATATAATAAAAGATAATCCGAATGTGATATTTTGCGGCACTCCTTTTGGCTAGAGAGAGCGGACAGACGGAATGACAGCTCAGCGAAACGCACTAGTAGAGAGTAGAGAGAGGAGAGAAAGAGAGAGAGAGAGAGAGAGAGAGAGAGAGAGAGAGAGAGAGAGAGAGAGAGAGAGAGAGAGAGAGAGAGAGAGAGAGAGAGAGAGAGAGAGAGAGAGAGAGAGAGAGAGAGAGAGAGAGAGAGAAAGTGACTCAACTGTGTAATGATAAGCGACGGCCGCAGTTCCTGATCGACGTCCATAGTGTGGTAGTAGGGGTGGGTCTGAGACAAGGCTTTCACGGATAAATGACCAAAGTTATTTACGATCATTGGCTAAGCTTATTTTTTAATTTTACTCCAAAATCTAGAGGGGGCAGCTGCCCTCTTGCCCCCAGAGGCTACGGCCCTGACATATCTTGATGGCTTGGTATATATGTATTTGCTAACAAACTTTTTAGCACATTTAATGACAACTAACACTTTTATTTAGGTACGTGTATAAATTATCTAAATCACTACAAACGTTTATTTTGGGGGTAGAAACCCCCTAATCTATGAAGATATGTCAAATATATATATTCTTCAAATACATGGCGGACGGTATTATACACATCCCGCGTTTAACCGACTCGTAACGCTGTACATGAGTCGTAATATAACCTATAAGCAAACACCACCCGCCACGAAGTAGAAACACAATCGCGTATTCATTGCACTTTGAACTTGAGCCTGCTACGGTGCATGCGGCAGCAGCTCTGTAAGGTTGTACGAACCCGCTACTCCGCTCGTTCATCGTCTGTCACTCTCTTCTGCACGACAAGCCAGCACGACTACTCGACACACAACACTAGCGACCAAGATGGACAATAAAGCCGTAATCCTGGTCGCGATGATTGCGTTCATGTGCGTCTTATCCGGTATGCTACGCTATGCGCCCTCTTGTAGTCAATTGAGATATTTACTATATTTATAATATATATATATAATATATATAATTATATATATATATATATATATATAGTTAATATTAAATATACTATATAAGCGTTTTTGATCGTATTTTTGTGCGGATATTCGTTAGGCCTGTCGCGGCGTTTGCGCCCTGGGCTGTCGGAGTATCGCCTGATACGAACACCGGCCCCCAGTACAAGCTCGGAGTTACACTTATACCGACATTATGTTAGCGATTGGGGCGATGTTGGACCAACTTCCCCCTTAGCGCAGTCTGGCGAACCCAACTCCCTGTGGTGGCGAAAATTAGAAACATGTCTCTAATCTCCGACTAGTTCCATCGATGGCGTTGGTGCCCAAGTTTTGCGTTTACCACTGCCGATTGTCGGTTGGTATAGATTGGGAAGTTTTGATCGTCTGTCTGCTTCCCCCGGTGTCGCGCGCTCCGTCCGCTCGCGTAGATTAGTCTCCTCGCCACTCTACACCTGTGTCTACCTGCTGTGTGGTATGTATGCTGGTGTGTTGTGCTGTTGTGTGTATTGTGGGTGTGTGTGTGTGGTGCGTCGCGTGCTGACAAGCCGTACGCAGGACAATTTCTGTAGGGAGGCAAGGTACTGTGCCCCCTGTCCCTAAGTTCCGCAAATTTCAATGTTCTTTATTTATACAGTAATATTTCTTTTGATGATTTAAGATAACCTTTTGTCACATTTCTATTTTTATTTCTAAAGTGTACAGTATTTGCTCACATTAAAAGGCATACTCTGAAAATCTCCGTGGGGGCAACTGCCCCTGACACTGCCCCCTGCCTGCGTACGGCCACTGCCGCGTGGCATGCGTCGTGTGTTGCAGCGTGTTGCGTAGTGCGTCGGTGTGCGTGCGTGACCCTCGCGCTATGCTGCCGCCCGTGCGCGTGAATCAACGTCGTGGTGTCTGGTGTGCGTGGTGCGTGCGTGCGTGCCGCTGCGTGCGTGCGTGCGTCACCTGCAGTGCTGACCTGGCGTGCGTGCGATGCGTGCTGTGTTAACGGATCGTAAGCAGCAGCTAGCTAGGCATCACTTGCTCCACACAAACCGGCGGAGTAATGCCTAGCCGCGTGCGCTCGGTCGGTGTCGTTGCGCGCGCCGCCCTGCTGGACATAAACGTGTGAAAGTAACGACCACCCCTGGTCCGCTGGTGAAGCTGGGTTTACATTACCAACTTTGCGTTCGCGAATTGCCGAATTGGACCAACTTCCCAACTATACAACCGACAATCGGCGGTCGAAAACGTCATGTAAACGCAAAGTCGCTACGCGAGCAACTAGTTGGGCGATTAGAACATGTTCTATTTTCGCCAACTCGGAGGTGCCGAATTTGGGCGAAATTGCGAATTGCGAAATTGGTCCAACTCGCAATTCGCCAACATAAAGTCGGTAGTGTGAACCCAGCTTAACTGTAGTAGCAGACACTGTCACGACACCGGCAGAACGTCCTTCCTTCGTCACTTCTCTGCATTACAGGTGAAGCTATCAAGTGTTACGTATGCAACACGTACTCTCATGTCGGCTGTAATAGCACGGACTTGACGTCATATGAAAAGGACTGCGATTCTCAATATCCCGGTCTGACAGACAACATCCTCTGTCGTGTTATATCACAGAAAGGTAAGAATTCTTCATTATCGTCATCATCATCATCATCATCGTCGTCGTCTTCTTCGTCTTCTTCTTCTTCTTCTTCTTCTTCTTCTTCTTCTTCTTCTTCTTCTTCTTCTTCTTCTTCTTCTATACTATACTTACTACTACAATTACTATCTTGACTACTACTACTACTACGTATCTACTACTACTAACTACTACTACTTATGCTGCTGCTGCTCACTTACTACTAGCTACTACGACTACTACTACTACTCACTACTACTACTACTACTACTAACTACTACCACTACTACCACTACTACTACTACTACTACTACTCAACACTCACCTTACTACTATACTACTACACTACTACACTACGACTACTTACTTCTCTGCTTCTTCTTCTTCTTCTCGTCTTGCTACCCCTCACGTTTTCATAGGTTTAATGAGTTTATGTGTTCACCCGCACGCACATTATTCATTATCTTATCTTATGCATATACATATCGAGACCCCGTATCTATCCTATATATATATATATATCTCCATATATATGCTATATATTATATAAATATATATATATGATATATTATATAGGAAGTAAAGTCGAGCACACGATCTACCCACGTAGATCAAACAAAGTCAAGATTATAGCAATAGGGATTCATAGTATATATATATATATATGTATATTTTTAACAGCACTGCAGGTTTTCGTCTACAGCTATTTGATCGTATTTTATGTATGTATATATATCATGTATATAAATATATGTATATATATTTTATGTGTTTCAGTGGAGGGATTGGCGGAGAAGAGAGTCGTGCGTGAGTGCGGAGAGGAGACGCACAGCGACGACAAGCAAGAGTTGGACTTCTGCTGGAACAACGCTGCCATCGGCTACAAGCAGATCATGCTGCACATGCTCCGGAGACCTGTTGTCAACGGCTGCGCCGTTCACCAGCAGCGGCTGGACCGTCGCCGCTCGTCGTCGCCTACTCTGTCCGGCCTCCGTCTATGTTGCCTTCTGCAATAGGCGCGCGGCGTCGCTGCTGCCTGCGCTGCCTGCATGTTACTGTTGCTTGCTGCTGCTTGCTGTTGTACTGGCTGCTGCTGCTGCCGCCGCTGCGCCGCTGCCTGCTGCCTGCCGCCGCAGCTGCCGCCGCCCAGCTTCTGCCCTACATGCCGCTGCCTGTGTATGCCTGCTGCAGGTGGATGTGCTTGTTGTTGTTGTTGTTGTTGTTGTTGTTGCTGCTGTTGTTAAGATACCGTGTTTTATAAGTACGTGTCGTATTTACGTGGCCAGATCTACCTATGCTCGTAGAGCGACCAACTACGTCCTCTCAGGAGCTCCTGCCGTACCGCTCAACTCTAACAAAGTTGACTGAGGCAAGACGGGCTGATTCACTGCTGAATGTCGTCATGATGTATGTATGTATGTATGTATGATGTATGATCAATGATGTATGTGTGTATGATGTATGTATGTATGATGTATGATCAATGATGTATGTGTGCACACATGCGATGGTAAAGATTTAATGCATTGTAAATCATTCGGGTAAACAAAACAACCGATATGTTCACGTTTTGTATGCAGAGACTGCCAGAGAGTAACTTGGCCCGTTAAAATTCATGGGTGGTTCTCTTGTGTGTGTGCTGTATGTGCTGGTGCATGTGTAAACACTTGCCATTTGCTGCACAATTGCATATTATAGATCCCGTAAAACGATAATAAAATAGTATACAGTACCCATGTTGACGATTTCTAAATTTCTGTTTGGTTATACGTACGCACTGCAATAACAGCGTCAAGAGGTAAAGCGCAAAGTTTGCCTAACTGGCTTAGATCGGCAGTAAAATCAGATGGCACACAGGCGTACGTATGTCCAGCAATACATCGAAACGTAAAGAAAGTTCAGCTACTATATTATATATCAAGATCATAGATAATACGCTATTGGTTATATCTATGGTTTTGTAAAGCAGCGACCTCTGATACGTACACATAAAGCGTCTGTGTGCTCACGATTGCACCTAGCATAAGTTCATCCTGATAAGTCCGTACATCACATGCAAGATTGCCTAAAGTTATGAGTGTGTAAAAACAGAAATTTGCGTCTCTAGCTGAGACGAAACTATTTCTTATATCGTGACAAGCTTATCACCCTTATTTAATAGAAGAATATATAATATATATGATATAGATACGGGCTGACTAGGTGATGCAAGTCCTAGGGGAGTGGGAGGCAGTGGGGATTCAGAATTCAAGGAGGGCGGTGAGAAACGGGGGTCGGGGTCAATTGAAAATGTAGACGCAGGAGATGCTGTTTGCACTGGCATTGTGTTACATGTATCAGCCCTTTCTGACTACGACAATGTCTTTTAGTAGACAATAATTTTTTTTAATTTGCTCCAAATCTAGGGAGTGACTGCCCCTGCACACCCCTTCGCAGGCCTATGGGCCACCGATATATATAGCCGAGGAGATCCCGCGTGAGAATGTCGACAAGGACGTGTCATGCCGAGTACGAGGCTTTGGGTTGGGGTGCTGGATATGCTTGAGCTAGAATAGTTGGATGATGACTTTATATAAATCTAATATTGAATGACTGATTGAGTTTATTAATCCATCGGACACCGAGATCAGAGGGAAAGACATTCACACGATTTTTAAATCAATATTTAACAATATAACATCCTTGGAAGAGGTGATAGCGTCGCGAGGGACGATAGCTTGTACAGCCAGAGGATGAGGGGGTCGGTCGAGTTTCGAAAGGGAAGTTTTTAGTAAATCTTTAGTCAATTTAGAAACGCATTTGGAGCTGTGAGGTGCGGATTGTATATTATAGAATGTTGATACCTGCGACTTTGGTGGTTACACAGCTGCGGATGGAGGCGTCGAATATAGAAACATTGCAGAAGACCAGGACCCTGTGCATACACACATTCACAAACACCTCTTACGTTGTCCTGTGCCGAGTTGTATGGGAAATACTCACCCACCCACCACATCCGCCACTTTCCCGCCAACGTGGCTACAATAATAAGATTACAAAAAAGTGATGTGTACTTTACAACTTTTAATAAAACACATTTGTGCAAAAGACGGTATATTGTCGGGGTGATTGTGTCGTCGATGGTGAAGGCAATATACACACGCTCGCTCGTAGACGCACACAGAGACACATGCGCACACGTAGCTCTACTCGTATAGCCCACGGCTACATGAGTATAGCTCAAACGTACGAGCCAAAAGCGGGAACGCATCATCACCAACACACTCGCACACATCACGCACGCAGCAACGTAACACATCAACACCCACCACGCATACGACGCACGCACGCACGGCACGCACGCAGCGTCCACGCACGCATCGCACACACTCAGTACGCACGCCACGCACACACGCACGCGCGCACGCATACAGAGAGAACAAGTTACATGCTCATTGGTACAAAGAGGTTTATTCACTAAAATCGAGGCTGTACGCAGAGAGCGTGTGACCACGTGACAACTGATAGGTTCGCTAGCAACCTAGCAACGTGCATGCGCACAAACCTACAAACCTGCGCACAAACCTACACACACACGCGACGCGACATGCCTCATGAAATCAGACGTCACGCCACATGCCGATATATATATTAATCTGTTGACGGCTGGCTGAAGGGAAGTGGGGAGCACCGGTGAGGCAGTCAGTAGAGACAGAGAGTCAGAGAGAGAGAGAGAGAATGAATTTGAAAAAGAGAAATGTGTGTGTGTGTGTGTGTGTGTGTGTGTGTGTGTGTGTGTGTGTGTGTCTGTGTCTGTGCGTGTGTGTGTGTGTGCACGTGTGCGTACGTGCCTAGGAAGAGAGATAGACAGACAGAGGGAGAGAGAAACAAACTGTTCACAAAAAGTTCGCCAGTCCTTAGTGCTAGCTAGCAAACCACTGCTGCCACCTATCGCCGGTTCGAGCAACTATTTAACACGCTACCTGTCGTTACTGGACACAGGGTTGCTACGACAACAAAGTCCATACATACCTCAGCAGAAAGAACTTGCGCAGTTGTCCGCGCAGCCAACTGCACATGGATTGCAAACCCACCGATCCCCACATTAATGTAGTATTTACAATTTGATGCTCGCTTGCACAGCAACGGTGACTGTCCTCCCGCGCGCTCCGAGAGAGCTTGGACAGACACCTAAATTAAACAGCAGACACGGCGTGCGCGCGGCAGAGACGCGTTATCCCTCTATGTTAACGGGAGAAAACTCTCCCTGCACTTGCTCTGCCACTCACGTTCGGTCATCAATAAAACATATCGGAGCAAGACGGCAATATTAACTTTGTCATATATAATCAATCTTGCGTTACTATCTCACTCCCAAAGGCATCACGATTGTCGGGGAACGCGCATCGTCTACGAAACCAAAAATATCTCCATGGCAACGACAATGCCCTCACATCTACAATCCCAGAGGCGCCACCTACAATGGCGCACCTTGACTGCGAATGAAGGCAATTACTAGGATATCACCATGGTGATGGCAGTGACGATAACGGCAACAGACGACGAAGATGAGCAATGAAACATTAGATGAGGATGACGATGCACTTACGACGACAGCCCAAAGCCGCCATCACATATATTATTAAGTTATCCGAGAAGATGAATGCCTCGACTTAAAACGCCCCCTTCTCTCTCTCTCTCTCTGGGAAACACCGCGCAGAGAGACGGGTGGCTCCCCCTGCACAAGTAGACCTAAAACAATTGCACGGTACGCACCCAAACTCCGCTTACATCGAGGTCGCCACCGCGACTTTCACGACAGACGAGCGAGGGGGCGCCGTTCGTTCGTTGCATAAACAAGAGAACACACTCCGTCCGCGGGGAACAACGACGAACGGAAAGAGTAGCCCACAACTCTGCATCACCACGGCAACCGCTTCCATGTTTCCATGTTCTCTTCTTTCTCTTCTGCCTCCAGGATGGAACCAGGCCGCAGCGTCTGCTGTGACGACTCTTGGTGATCCTCTCTCGTTGCCGATTCTCTCTCATTGCCATGGTTCCTCTCTCGTTGCCGACTTTTCGCGTTGTCGATCCTCTCTCTCATTGTCGATCATCTCTCGTTGCCATGGTTCCTCTCTCGTTGCCGTTCCTCTCTTGCGTTGTCGATCCTCTCTCTCATTGTCGATTCTCTCTCCTTGCCATGGTTCCTCTCTCGTTTCCGACTCTCTCTCGTTGCCGTGATTCCTCTCTCGTTGCCGTGGTTCCTCTCTCGTTGGCGCTCCTCTCTCGTTGCCATTGCATCTCCCCGCTGCAGCTGCGCGGGGGACGAGCGCGAGGTGGGGGAAGGAGGGACGGCGTGCCCGGGGGAGAGATGCGTCTCTCGCCACGATCACGCCACCCTTCCCCGACCCTCCTGCCACGTCCCAGAGCGAGCGAGTTTCGATGTGGGGGTGGCAGCAGTGGCGCCCTCTAGTCGATGTACTGTGCGAGCCAGCGGAATCCCTCGCCGTATCCCTGTCTCTTCAGCACACTACACATGAACAGCTCCAGCGGGCGACCATGCAGCTCCCCCTTCGGAATGTTACCCTGCAAAGGAAAGAGACGAAACATATACTGTATATATGCCATATTTTTCTTTACAGACAATTTCGCGAGTGGTTAATTTCGCTGTCTGTGAATTATGAGTTATTCGGTATTATTCAGTATGAATTATTCGCGTGTTGTTATTTTCGTGGTCGGGGATGCTTTTGCGAAAATTTAACCACTGCGAAATATACAGCGTATACAGTAGTTGATGAGGTTAAATGCAGCATCGGCTGTCTAGCATCTATCTTTTTTGCTGGAATTGAATTTGAGCCAAGAGCCGGGCGGGACATGAAGCGAGCGTGCGGGGATGGAGGAGGAGGGAGCGAGCGAGCGGGGAGGGAGAGGGCGCGAGCGAGCGGAGGCTGCTGCTGCTTCTTACCTTGCCCGTTGTCTGGCCGTGCAGGCCGAACATTGATCGTAGCTCGTCTTCACTCGCAGCACCAGGGATGTCGATCTTGTTACCGAGTACTAGCACCGGACAGCCCACCACCTGCTCATCCGTTAACAAGCTCTGTAGAAACAAACACAAAGTCTTATTCGGCGTTCCAGGGGCAGAAATTAACTTTTGAACACGGGAGTCCAACGAACTCCCTGCCCTCAAAAAGTGGGAGTCCGCAGCAAAAGGAGGGAGTCCGCAGTATGAGGTTCAAAATTAAAGATATTAACAATAACACGTGCTTATTTTTAAGATTCATGCGGTTGCACGCTTGCCAAATTTTCTATGGACATTTGCTGAAAAAATACGGTAATTCCGCGAGGCCGTACACAGAAATGAATGAAATAAGTTCATTGGATTTCGTTGAAAACTATGAATTCATATTTATCTTGTGTTAAATCCAAGAAATTAACTTACTATCGAAATTTTCGATCTCCTTCGGGAAATCTTCATCCGGATGTGACGTCACCATAGGTGATCATGATGTCACCTGCTGCCACCTATGGTGACGTCACTTCCTGATAAAGATTTACCGAAGGGAGATCGAAAATTTCGATAGTAAGTTAATTTCTTGGATTTAACACAAGATAAATATGAATTCACAAAAACAGAAAGTTTTATTTGGGGTTCCTACTAAAGGCAAGACATTTTTCCCCAGGACTTAAAAAGTGTCATCTTCTTGGGGCGCCGATATTTAAACCAAATGCAATCTTTGTACATCGTATTTTTTACAGTCAGTAAATAGTAAATGCTTGCATAAGTTTGGAAGGTTTATTGACCCTCACATGATTAGCACATATGCATGCACACATACCAACGTGTGCACCAGCAGACCCAGCCCCACACACACACATGCACACACGTGAGTCGTTACAGGGTTCATAGTAGTAAGACACATGTTGAAATAAGGACGTATAAGACCCTTTCTGGAGGCCAAAATAAGACTTTTTTACGCGATTTCTGATAGATCACCGACTATTAAAGTACACTAACAATATTTATATACACAATTACACGGCAGATTTAATTATTCCGTATTATATATACAACAATTCTTACTCTAAGTCGAGAAAAAATAAGGACTATTAAGTACTTTTCTAAGATTTCACCAAAAATAAGTACTAATAAGGGCCCTTATTTTATTTTTGGCAAAATAAGTACTTATAAGACTTTGGAAGACCCGCTACGAACCCTGCGTTATAAAACACACAGCCAGTGCTGTACCTACATCAAGTTCTGACTTTGACTCCCTAAACCTGTCTCTGTCGTAGGCATCTACTAGAAACACTATGGCATCAACAGCTGGGAAGTAGTCCTTCCACACCTTCCTCGCTGCAAAACAATGCACACACAAATCAAATTCCTGTAAAATACCACTTCGAAGTGTAGTCATTGTCTGCAACATCAACCTAACAAAGAAAAACATGCATCGAAAATGAATTTATTTTACGCGCTTATATTTTTGATTGGTTGGTTTTAAGAGTTGAAATTATTAAACGATGAAAACAATATAAGCGCAATTGAATTTTAAGGTAAGTACAACGTATATGCTTCAGCGAAATGTTTGACAGCCGACCTGCTGTCTTTTGTGAAGCTCTGCTAATCATTTGATAAATCGGATGACTGGCTGTCGTCTGTTGCCACGGTGATGGCTCATATGAAACATCAGCACAGCTAAACAAACTCAGCCGATCAGCCATTGAAACTGTTGCTCTAGCAGCTTGGATTTACCTCAAAATTAAAGTATTTTACACGAGAAAACAACATCCATGGACATTTTTCTAATGTCACTTAATCCAAAATGTGATTCTGTGTGTTAAGCGGATTTATCACTCACCTTGCTTATGTCCACCAAGGTCAAAGGTTGTGAACTTCATGCCTCCCATTGTCAGTTCTTCTGACGCTGTAGTGTTAAAAATAATAGATGTATAATTTTTTTTTAACGATTATATAAATTATATTATTGGAATAAATTTTTACATCAATTTTCTCACAATGCAATCTCTGTCTATATATCATTGTAACGAAATATTTACTTAGCTATATATAACTATAGTTTAACAAATATTTACATATAACGTAACTGTATACATGTATGAGCAAACCTGTGGCTAATATTCTACTCAGCTTACAATTAGACGCAACAATATATTAACAGCTTATGGGTTAGCCATTAATAAACAACTTAGAAGATTTGTCCCTGTAGATGGCAGCACATACAGTTTTGATGCTACCAGGGGTGTAACCGATGTATCAGTGAATCGAGACACAGTGACCTGAGACCGAGACCGAACCGAGACACAGTGGCCCGATACAACAACCAACATACAGCATACGCATTGCGATACAAACGATAAAGGTGTTGAACCATAAATAAGGTAACCTAATGCGAGATAACATGTAATTCAATTTAGATGGAATTTCTTTCATTTCATGAACTCTCGCTCTCATCGTCACGTAAATACCCTCAGTTACTGGAGAAATCAGGGTCAATATATGTTGTCATACAAATCTAGTGCAAATATATTATGGACACCGTGTGTCCTTGAATCCTGAAGAGATACATGACCCCTAGGTTCCTTGCATATTTTCAGGTAAAACAGGTTTAACTTACGCGACATGAAAAATTTCACCATTCAATAGAAATATTTTTTTTTTCATGTTTTAAAACTAACTTTTCACTTGAAGAGTTAAAACCTTATTATCTCATACTCACTACGACAAATTTATCATAGCGTACAATTTATAAAATCTCTCTATCTGTCCGTGTATCGCAATACGTATCGTGACCTACATATATTGACATACATATCATATCATGACTCTATAGTGTATCGTTACACCTCCAGATGCTACTCATACTTGGGGGACACTACATTGCATTGCTATGCAACACATGCATGCAAAAATATTATTGTGGTTAGTTAAGGACTATCTCACCTTTTTATAAGAAGTATATTTGTAGGAAAAGGGGTTAAAATGAGAGATTTGCCTTTTGTGTGTCACTGTACCAAAATTGTTCACTATAGCAAATTTACAAAGTCGCGAGTGTTTGTTTACACTGAACAGAATAGCAAATCCAATAATTGCATTTGCAAGTTTACACTTTTCAATAACCCTAGTACTATACAAGGTGAGATAGTCACATTGAAATTAATTCTATCGTTAAACGCACATGCTCATGCATCCACCAAACAACACGGTTTAATCAGGAAAGCCCTAGAAAGGAGTTCACATTGGCTGCTAGGGAAGACGAAACACTTACCAAAATACCTACTTGGACTTAGCTACGTAGACGAATCATGACGACAATCAGAGATTCACAGCGGACCAGCATCTCAGAGCGACTGCCCATGCCCTGACATAACCTTTCTACTCTCCATCCACACTTACCATCTTACCTTAGATTGACTACGTCAAGAATTTTCTATGGTAAAATTTGTAAAATTTTTGTTGCCATTTTTTTGCATTAAAAGTAAGAACTAACGGGACTAAACGTATCGTCAAATTCTTACCTGATAAGATTGTTTCTCAACTAGTTAAAAATCCAAAAAACCTGGACGATTTGATATTAGTGTTCCTGGCATTAATTGCTTGCTATGGGCTATGTATGCATCCCGAGTGTATGTTCACATCGAACAATATAGTAAAATAAGAAGTATAATCATAATGCAGCAATTTAACCATAAAAAGTGAACAGAATTACTTATATTTTGTGAAAAAGTGGAAATATTTTGTTTTATTTTTTACTATTTACGGTGACGTAATCACCTTAATGACGTCGTTATTACGCCCGTGATAATTACCACCTCTGCTATGCCCAGTGAAAAGATGGCCACTTACTATGAGATTATGTTACAGTGGTGCCACCTACAAGACAACTGTGGTAGTGGCGCCAACTACTGTCTGACTGTGCTACAGTGGTGCCACCTACTAGAAAACTGTGGTAGTGGCACCACCTACTGTGTGTGACTGTGCTACAGTGGTGCCACCTACGGCATGCCTGGCGTCATACAGCGATAGTACTTACTTATGTAGGTTCTAGATATATGGAATCGGATGGATGGAAGGAAGCCTGGATCATCTTACCAGACACAGCTCCTCTGCTTTAACACTCCCTTTGTGGATCCGACTAGCTTATGGCTGATACTACTGTCGTGCTATAGAGGGCCATCCTTAAAAAATTATATGTTTGCTGTCCTCCGACCGACCCACGAAAATAGCCGCGACCCAAAACCCATTTTGGGTTCCATATTTTTTTTGATTAAATTTTTTATAGTTAAGACTGAAACACAAAGCATGTGTGGCAAACATGAGGACAGACTTAAAATAACTATTATGCCTCCCCCCAAAAAAAACCTACCTACCTACCCACTAAAAAAATCATGGGTCGGGGGACAGCAAACATAGAATTTTTTAAGGATGGCCTAGAGTGTAACGAGGGGACTTACTTGCATAGAAGGTGGGGACGTGCTGAGCCATTCGATCATCTTTGAGCATGTGCAGCAGCGTCGTCTTTCCTGCGTTATCCAGGCCCAGAAATACGAGCTTGCCCGACTTTTTGTACAAACCTACGACGCACACAGGCGAAGACAGAAAGGGAGAGACAAAAAACGACATGCTTATTACTGCTAGTATTCAATCACACAATGCAAGCGTTAGTCGGCGACATCCAACGCTGGACGCCGATAGATTCTGCTGCTAGGTGGCGCTGCCTGCAACGCGAACTACTGTGACATGCAAAACAATCACAAAATTTCTACATGCAGCACGACCTACACGTGAGAAACTATTGGGGTCCAACTGACCGTCGCCAGCAGTTACTAGCGTATATTTACAGTCAAATCTGTGTAGGTATCACTCAAGGAAAATACCCAACTGTTCTTTATAGACAGTTCTCTACTGTATAGACAGGTTTGACACAGGTTTGATTGTAGATAACCGCAGATGCGTACACACACACAACAGCAACTGTGCTGCGGAGAAAGAGAGGGAGGGCAGTCACAATCCTGCGGAGAGAGAGAGGGAGAGCCGTCACAATCCTGCGGAGAGAGAGAGAGGGAGAGCCGTCACAATCCTGCGAAGAGAGAGAGAGAGTGAGGGCAGTCACAATCGCCCGCACGCTTGCCGTGGGCCTCGCTGCATGCAGGGCGTGGAGGCCGAGGGCGCTAGAGGGCGCCACTTACTCGGGTGGTGCGTGGGACTCGCCTGTAGGATACGGTCGTCTCGCAGCATGCCCAACAGCGTCGTTTTACCGGCATTGTCTAAACCGAGAAACACGATCCTGGCGCTCTTGCCCTTGAGACCTTGCGGGAAAACGGCGCAGGTTAACGAGCCATCACCACAGCGCAGGTTAACGAGCCATCACCACGGCCAGGTGTGCAGCACGAACACAGCGCAGGTTAATGAACCATGGCCAGGTACACAGCAAGAAGATGGCACCCACCGTGCACACACAGACCATCCCCTCCCACCTTACTCCCGCCTTACTCCCGCCTTACTCCCGCCTTACTCCCGCCTTACTTCCGCCTTACTCCCGCCTTACTCCCGCCTTGCCTGAAACCTCACACCCACGTCTCACCTAACAGCCCCCCTCCCCCCTAAGAGCTCCCTACCACCTAACTGCCCCCCTCCCCCCTAAGAGCTCCCTACCACCTAACTGCCCGACCCATCCCCACACCATTTTCACAGTTAATGTTAAGAAGAGTTCAAGGTTTGATGTAACTTGTAAGCATGAATGACCACGTGGGGGTAAGTGACCAGAAATATCATAGACTAAGTATAATTACAACCAGATCTGCGCATCTTCGCGTACTGTCTCATCCAATACATTGGCCATGAACTTTGAACATCCGTAAAATCATGCAACTGCACACACTAATCTCGCAGCAAATGCTGGCGGACCTTGTTTTATCGCCCTCCAGGTGCGCGTAAGGTACGCCTGGTGAAATGGTTGTGAATTCATGGTTCATACAGGAGGACCGAAAAAATTTCCAAGGACTTTTCAAGTACATTTTATCGGATATTCAAGGACATTTTATCGGACATTATATTGGAATTCATACACAGAACAAAACATACCTGGATTAATTTAATAATAACTCCATTCTTAATCACTGTCTAGTGTCACCTCTAAAACTTACCTGGAACACATTAATAAACTAAACACTGTGACTTCTACAACATACCTTGATTTACTGACTGATTTTACTGACTTACTGTAATTTGTGATCATCATTTAACTGTCTATCGTGTCTATAGCTTTGTAAGCTCATTTAACACAATTTTTATTGAGGTTTGCACATTATTGATGGTACAAAATTTCTTTTTATTACAGGTAAGGATTCTTTCTAAAAATTCAAGGACATTTTCATGAAATTCAAAGACTTTTCAAGCACAAAATCAACATTTACTAAATTCAAGTACTTTTCAAAGACTCCCCTCAAATTCAAGGACTTTTCAAGGACTGTGCGAACCATGGAATTAGAATACCTCAGGGGTGTAACCCACAACACAGCAATGCTCTCTCTCCTATCCTATCATTAGCAGTTCACAGACCTAGTTCCACGGTCGGCGGTCGACACGACGTATGCAACAGCGGGGTCATGTTAGGCCACACTTAAAAAATTGTTTGTTTCCCCTTTACCTACTCGCCTCTCAGGGTACCGAGTAGGTAGGTAGGTGAAAAATCTTGTATATTGTATATTCTGTTTTGTGTATATGTTTTTGCGGAACGAATTTTATTTTTATTTTTTGGCGAAACGAAATCATGTTTGTTTTGTTTTAATCGGCCAATAAAATGTGTCGAGTAGCAGCGTTTTGGCGAGTCGGTCAGTAAAGGGGAAACAAGCAATATTTTATCTTAGGCCTTATTACCAACAAGGTTGTTGCTGCCTAGCTTGGGATATACACAAGTATGGGCGCAACTCACGAAAATCTTTTTTCTCCCACAAAATACTAATTAGTAATATGTCGGCTACTGCTACTGATACCACTGCCACTACTACCAGCTCATGTGTTCAACTGTCCAACGTTGATGTATTGGACGAGATACAGTCAACATTGTACGTTAAGAACGCAGCACGCAGGCACGCTTGTGTACCGAGAGTGACCTATCCGAAGGCCGACGCATAGCACGGTGAGATCGGACGGAAATCGGAATGTGCAAACATGGCCTGTGATTGTTTGGATATGATATCTACAGCTAGTCAGAATAATTACGATTAACCTCGTGCATGTTCAAACACAGCCTATGTCTGCTTTCTACACGATCCCATCCATTTATATATAAATAGGATATCGTTCAGACGATCTAGAATTAAAAAACGCCTGGCTGTCTGTGAGCACTGGAATAGCATTAACATTCTGTGGCCCAACCAAAAACAACAGACATGGGTTGGCAACAAATATTAAACAACTAAACACGCTTTGAAAGGTACAAACGCGAAAGAACAGCTTATGTACGTGCCTATATAATACTAATGGTTGTTGAACAGCTCTGTCACATACCACTACAGGGGTAGAAATTTCGCAACCTGCTACTAAAAAACACATATATATATATATACTCATGTCTAATCCAAATCAGTAGTAAAGTGATCCATATCACATTCACCCTTCATCAATACATTGCACATCAAACTGTTACACTAGCAAGGGCTCTAATATCTGCCAGCATACATTTATCCTTATCAAGAAAACAGCTGTCTATTTATAAACTAACTTAAATCAGCTTTTATTATGCCACATGACCTTCTTCCTACGATCACTTGAACCAGTTCCAAAAAAAGGACGAAGCAAGCTTACTCAGAGATAGTCAATTGGACATGTGATAGACTGTGCATGTGATTCTGTAATGTGATATCACAGCAAGCCAGGAAGTAAGTAGAACTGTTTTGTCTTCTACACTGTATTCCACACGTTCCACACATAACACCTAATGACCACTGACTCAGCGAGGAAGCAAAATGCTAAAAAACCCTCTGAATAGGTAGATTTGCTGGTTCAACGAATAACGATAGGTGAAAATTAAGTGCATTTATCCTTGTTTTCACAGTTCCGGTCACAGGCTTAGTAAACATATATTACCCAGATGTTTGTGCTTACCTAGAAATTGTAGCATACCAGTGAACCAGTCCCACAGAAACATCTTGAATGATTGGTGGCCTGCAAATTAAACCACATATCTATGAATATAAATTGACCTCGTTTGGTTTTTTAACTGAATGTTAACTAATATTGATTTTCATTCAACTGTAAAACGTTACGTAGAAATAAAATTCAAAATGCCCAAACTGTCAACAAGCAAAGCCCAGTCAAGTATCCTAGATAAACATTTTCAACAAACAAATTTATATAAATGTTACAATAATGTAGACCATCGCTAATTCAGTAATACCCTGCATTACACAATTTTAAGTATTCCAGAATAAAAACAACTGCAATACAAAATTCCACTACACGAATCACGTTTTCCCATTAACTTCGACGCTATCTGTTATTTTGTCGATGACCAGTCTTGTTCATATAAGGAATGAGATTCAAAAACATTTGCTAAGTCTCCTCTCTTGCACCTGTCACATAATTCCTAATATACCGTGAACACGATTATATGACAGATATATGCTCACAGGCATTTGGAACGTTTCAATAATAAAATGATGCTAAATAAACACGAAATGTATTTACTACCAAAGTCTTAATGTTTCTCTACTCTCTTTTGCCTATTATTGCCGATAACTTCCTGTAAATGCCGTTCAAATGCTCCTCTGCAACACACAAGTACAACCAACAACAACGAGCGTGCACAAACAACGCAAATCTAGAGCAGGTGGGAAAGTGTGAGCAAAACATTCGTAGGAGGCTTCCTTCGATTCACACCATCACATCGCTAATACACAACCAACAACCTCCATTTTAATATCTATGCATATAGTGTGTATTGCGCCGTTCACTATTTTTCACTCACATTTTCCTGCCTAACATCGACTTATTAGTAGATAGAGAATACATATATCCATTGAGACTTTTGCAGTAAATACATTTCGTGTTTATTTACCATTATTTTATTTTTGAAACGTTCCAAATCCGGGGTGCTAAATTGGGTGCATGGCTATGCCACAGGCACAACAAATTGCTCGCAACCCCTACTGGACGAGTTGCAATACCGAATACACAACGCCGGAAACAAACCGGATAAGATCACCTGATGTAAAGAAGATGATCATGATAACTGAACCTGTAAAACTACCGTTAAAATAATCCCAGTTGTTAAGATTTAGGTGTTTAGGCTAGGGTTGAAATAGGCCTAGTGAGTAGTCACTGTAGTGTACAAAATTAAAATCAACACAGAATTCCATTGCAACTTTTATCGTCATTTCATGAAACAGTGTAGGGGCACGATTATTGCGGAAACATTACATAAAAAGGTTGAAGCGCTCATTAACTAGTTTAGAAGTTTAGTGAAACATTTACCGAATGTAATCCGTTAGATGTTAGCTTTTCACTAGATGTGTTCCATCAACAGCAACGTACACGACGCAATATGGCAGCGTCCAGCGCTTTAGCCTGAACTCTTGCTACGAGCATTTTGATTGGAGATGACACGTCACCCACCCAATAAGAAGACTGCATTTATTAAAGCGCCAGGTCACGCTAGGGTCAAACCAAAAAGATGGCAGCCCCCATGTGGCTGCTCGTTTCTAGGGTAAATTTTAACACAATCTGATATTACTGCATTTAGTGTATTTCGTTATGGAATTATGCTCGTTTATATGTCTCGGACTTCAAACGCAGCACATTATTTGTTCATTTCTGTTAGTATTGACCTAGTAGTAGCACTTCTTCGATTCCCTGCCAGTCCACACACGTCTCGTCTGTGTGACACTGTGTCAGTGTGTGAATCACAGCCACAGGCACAGGCACTTGGAGGGTTTCAATAAAATATAATGCTAAATAAATACGAAATCTATTTACTACCAAGGTCTTAATGTTTCTATACTTTCTTTCACCTATTATTGCCGACAATTTTCTGTAAATGCCGTCCAAATGCTCATCTACAACAAACACTGGCTGCCGCCAAGCGCCATTGGCATTGCTGCCGCTGCACACTAACACTCAAATATATAGTGGTTAAATATATAAATATACACTATATATATAAGTGTCAGTGTGCAGCACTGCAGCGGCAGCAATGGCGCTTGGCGGCAGCCAGTGTTTGTTGTAGGTGAGCATTTGGACGGCATTTACAGGAAATTGTCGGCAATAATAGGTGAAAGAGAGTATAGAAACATTAAGACTTTGGTATAGTAAATAGATTTCGTATTTATTTAGCATTATATTTTATTGAAACGCTTCAAGTGCCTGTGGTGTGAATGAATATTACTGTTACTGTTACTGTTAGAATGAGGCAGCGACAGCGTCCGAGGCAAAATTGTCTCTTTGCAAAAAGTTGTCATAGGTTCCATAAAACTTTATTGACCTGTTATAGACATGAGACCTGTCTTATTGACATTGAGAAAGTGAATGATTGACAGTCGACGATCGACATCGCTTGACAATCACTGAATCAGACAATTAGTGCTCTAGCTGATTTTAACAGCTGATAATTCAAGGTCATAACATTTCTACTAAGCATCTATAAATATTAAAAATTTAGCAACAAATCGTGTCCATTGCAATGCGATGTCTGATTCTATCTAACACATATTGAGCTATATACTAACGAAGTGGCTATATGCCCGGCAGCCGAGCACGGTCTTCGATTTCCTAAATGCCCGGCAGTTTATAATTTTTGGTGATTTTTCAAGTAAACAGTGTACTACTTGATCCAAAGTATTCTACATTTGTTTAGAAATGTCAAGCGATTTTTTATAGTGCTGTATATATTCGAACTACCCCAATTCTCCTAGAAATCGCAATCGACACTTAGAAAATATCCGACGGCTGCCGGGCACGGTCTTCGATTTCCTAAATGCCTGGCAGTTTTTAATTTTTGGTGATTTCTTAAGTAAACAGGAGGGTTAGGGTTAGGGTTAGGGTGCCGGCTGCCGGGCATATAGCCACAGTGATATACTAATAGGCCTATAGAGCTCAAAGAGTGTATTTCATAAGACCTGATCGGTGCTTTTGTCCAGATAAAAACCTGGAACATGGACATGTATATCTTGGCACAGCAACCATTATTTTGATTTTATGGCATGATTTTGTATATAATTGGTGTTTGAGTATTCTGTGGTGGCCAGTGGCAGTAAAAGCAGCATTCACAGCCTTTAGATTATAATTGCCTTATGTTGTAACATTGCATTACTACTGGATATGCATTTGTTTATGCCTATGTGCCTGCCATGTGAGTTTACCTTCTGTTGGTCGCTGTTATAGTTTATACCCTTATGCGTGGGGCAGGTTTTCAATGCAGTGAGGCTTGCATATGCAGCGAGGCTTACATGCGCTATATTGTTGTATACAGGGCCGTAGCTAGCAAGGGGGGGGGGGATGGGGGCAGTTGCCCCCAGAGAAATATGGATGCTGTTGTGTTACGTGGTCAATGGCGATTGGCCTATAGTCAGCTGCCCAGCACACAACCTGCACATCGCTTAGGCCCCACCAGGCAAAATGGGTTAGGTACGCCTTTGTTATATAGTCGTTGATGGTACATGTTTTACTTTGGTAATTCCATGATAATATATAGCTGAACACAGTGTCTTTCTCATCTGCAGAAAGTAGTTTTTTGATTAAATAATTAACCTTTAATTAATCCATTTTTTAAATTTAGAGTGCCGCTTCGGCGATTGGAAACACACACAGAAGAATAGCCACTACTGCAGCCTGTTGCAAAGTACAAGCAGGAAGATACAAGATAACGCTGAAACAGAACAAACCGCTTACCTATGAGCAGGCCCATCCACCCTTCCAGATCGGCGTATGCAAGTCATGGAACTCTTGGAACACCAGTAAGATACTTGCTGCTTAACATTGCTAGGTGCCTATTTGATAGATGACTTTTGTAGTTTAAACTTATCAGAATTATTTATTCTTTATACCAGCCCCAGGTAACATGCACGATGCACCTATTAACGCTCACTCGTATCTCTTCCCACCAGCTCCAGGTAACCTCCATGACGCACCTGTTAACGTTCACTGTCTCTTCCCTTCGCCAGCTAACCTGCGCAACATGCTGATTAACATTCGATTATCTTATTCCGGCAGGTAATCTATGTGACGCGCCGCGCGCCAGCGACACTCTTTACGAGGACATGTTCATTCGTAAGTTCATGGCCGGCACGTGGCACGGCATCTTCGTCTCGGAGGTTATCATCAAGCGACGACACAACGCCGTCTATGTGAGCGGCGTCGTGCAGCGGCGCTTGCACGCGCGCAAGCTTTACTTCCTCGTCGGCTACACGGAGGAGATTCTCGCTCGATTCCTCAAGTGCATCGTGAAGGTCGAGGTGCAGAGCGTTGGCGATCGCCGCGATGTTGTCTTCAAGTACATCTGAGGCGGCGCTGCGGGGTTCGTACGGGTGTATAGACGACCTGGTGGGTCTTGGAGTTTATCAGATGTGGTTTGCTAGGTATGGAGAGTCCAGGCTCTGGAAGGCCCAGGAAATTGGGTCATGGACTTGGAAAGACAGAGAATTGACTGTTATTGTGTTTGGTCTGAGAAAATTCGTGAAATTGGGTACACACCCGTCTTGTCTGAGAGGTAAGCAATGGTTGCTGGCTAAGTAATTCTGCTCACCTGGTTCGTATTTGGCTAGAATATCAGTCGTGAAAAATCTGGCTTTTAAGTCATAAAATAATCCTGAAAGATTTCCAAAAAAAGGTTTTCCTTAGGTGTATGAACCCTGGCAGTGCACAGCGGTGGCACGCGGTGATGGGGAGGGAAATGAACGCAGCAGCAGCAGCAGCGGCGTCGGCCCACAGTGCATGGTCCATGAAGCGGATGCTAGAGTTATAGTAACGCGCAGCGGCGAACAGATGAGAACTAGCGAAACTCCGCTATATGCATGCGCACGTCACTCCTGTTAGGTCAGATCTACTTTGTGACGCCACCATCATCGTCATTGTCAACCACACACTAAGCAAAATGTCATTACGGACCGAAGCCTTAACGTAGATGGTCTGTACTCCTGTCTTGTTGAGTTTTCTAGTGAACAATAAAATTTGTGATTCATCAACGAAGTAACTCATATTGTTTTTATGCAGATGATTTGAATGCGTCTGCTTGTTCTTATATCTGTGTAAATCGTGGAGTATAACTTGAGTGTGCAATAGGTGGCAGCACAAACGTTTCATCACTATCCAACTATTAAATAATTCCAAGGTTATTTCCTACAGGAAAATCCATCGGGTAATAAGGTTATTTTATAATTATGTAATTCCTTACGTGTAAATGTTTAAAAAAAGTACTTGCATATTATTCAACTTGTCACCCCTCGCTAAAAACAAAAATGACAACATGAATTTCACATTACTTTATTTCATACCTTCTGTTAGCAAATTTTGAGTGGCCTGATTGCATTTAATTATTCACCAGTGAGTATGATACATCAACTTTGCAAATTCATCAAAATTCCCAGTTTATCCTATGAGGGGCTCACTTGTATATACACAGTCCCTCAGCGGTTTGAGAAGGTGGGTACACGACGGATCGAGAACCGGCCTAAGTGGCCAGATGCACGCGATCCCTCCATCCTGTCGCATCAGTAGCCCAGCAGGGGGCGCTCCCTAACATAAGCAATCGTCCGCTCTGCATCTTCATTCAAGCAAAACCGATACTCAGTTTCTGCCTCGGGCCCGGTAGGGGGCGTATTAGTCGTAACAGAGGCGTACCAATTTACGGAATGAGGGGGAGGGCAGTTCGTATAAATGGTCGCAATCTAGGTTGGAATTTTTTTTTAAGGATTGATCGGATAGTTTGCGACGTAAAATAATGTCGCAATGAGGTGGGCTCGCTCGCATTTCGAGCAACCAACAACTAACGTTCGCAACTTGTAAAGGGGAGCTTGCACCCCCGCCTTCCCGACTCCCTCCCAGACTCCCCTCGGGAGAGCACTCGTTAAGTCCTACGCTTGTGGAGGCACGCGTCCCCCGCCCGCGAGAGAGAGTATCGCCACCGAGAGGAGCGGGAGCGAGAGTTGGATTAGTAGTGCTTCAGCTTCAGGCCGCCTCGGTCGAACTCCCGGGCGCAGTGAAT